CCAGGAGACCTCTTTCCTCTGACTAATGTTAAGACACAAATAACAGCCACACTTTTAGGTAACCATATATTAAATCACTCATTTTCCAGCTAAACAAACTACAGGCCAAAGAGGATGAGTGAGCTCTCCAAGATCACAGGTTGAGCCCACCTCTCTGGAATCTTGGTCCAGACCACTTCCCTCGCATGAAAATACGAAACGATAAAGGAGCTGTGGTTTCTCTAATTGATGGACAGTTTAGGCAATATTTATAGTAAAGAAAGTTCCAAAATAACTTCATTTAAAATACATTTTGAACAACATAAAAGGACTAAGCACTTGATTCAGAAAGCGTAGAAGAGACATCTAGCTTATTTGTATTAACTGCTCCTTAAAAATTTGCTCCTTCCATTTCAGGAGGGGGAATGAGGACAGAACCCCAGAGGAAGCCACCTAATAGGTATGAAAAGGACTGGGGAGATGCAATTTTTCTGGCGTACTGTAGAGATTTTGAATATTTGTTATTTTGCGTTTTTCTTTTTCGTGCCTGCATCCAGGCAACAAAATGAGTAGCCTGGTCATGTGAAGTGACGACGCAAACCTGCTGCTTGGTCACAGTTCTGGCATTCCGGGGCCATCCACTTTCCTACTCTCCAGGCGACGCTGCACGCCTCTCATTCCTGCAGACTTCCAACTCCCTTCCCGTCACCTCTTCAGCTGGGAAAGTGGGAGCTATCATTTTCCCAGTAACAAATGCAGCAACCTACCTGCATATACGCCCCATTCACTCCAGAATCTAGGCTCCACGAGGTTACAGATTGTCTCATTTTGGTCACTGCTTTATCCCCAGTACTGAAAACGATGCCTTGCAAATAATAGGTGCACAGGTATTTGAGTAAGTGAATAAAAGTGCCGCCTTACCTGTGGACGTGGACAATGCACTGTCCCTTCTGCCTATCGAGACCAACCTCTCCTGAGTCCTGCATCCTGCTCCATCTTGCCCATTGTTTCCCTGGCAACAGCATCCACTGTCCCCTTCGAATGGAATTCCATCAGCATATAATCAATCATGCCATATTATTTCCCGAAAAGCTCAAATCCACCCTTAGCTCACCTCCACCTCAGCTATGACCCACTTCTGTTCCCCTTTGCAAAGCTTGAGTTGTCTACAATTGCCATCTCTACCTCAGTCCCCTTCTGCTCACAACCCAGCCCCTAAACTTGCAGCTTGTTGCCACAACAACCCCCGTTGTCTAACGGTTAGTTCTCTGTGCTCACCTTCCTTGAACAGCACCTGAATGAGCAGACGACTCCCTTCTGGAAACACTTTGTTTCACAATACCGAGAGCTCTCAGGTTCCTTTGCTAGCTCCTCCCAGTTTTAGATGTTGGAGTGACACAGGGCTGACCTCTTCCAGATCTACTTGGTTGCTACTCAAGCGGTGCTGATGCCGCTGGGCCAGGGCACTGAGCAGCTTGCTAGAAGTGCAGACCCTCAGCCGGGCGCGGTGGCTCACGCTCGTAATCCCAGCACTTTGAGAGGCCAAGGCAGGTGGATCAGGTCAGGAGTTCGAGACCAGCCTGGCCAACACAGTAGCTGTCTCTACTAAAAATACAAAAATTAGCTGGCGTGGTGGCAGGTGCCTGTAATCCCACCTACTCAGGCAGCTGAGACAAAAGAATTGCTTGAACTGGGAGGCAGAGGTTGCAGTGAGCCGAGATCACGCCACTGCACTCCAGGCTGGGCGACAGTGCTAGACTGTCTCAAAAAAAAAATGAAATGCAGACCCTCAGGCCCCACACCGATCTCCTGAGGCAGAATCTGTATTTTAACCAAACGTAGTAACACATGCTTACTCACATTTGAGAAAGTCTAATTTCCTGAGTAATTTCAGTCATGTGGCTTCAACCTGCATAGACTGCATAGACTGATGCTCCAAAATGTTTACCTCCTATTACCCTAATGGTCGTATGCAGGGCTCCATGCTGGATTCTACTAGAAATCTACTAGGCATCTCAAAGCCAAGTGCAAAACGCAAATCTTGATTTTTTTTTCCCCCTCAGGCCAAAAACTCAAGTCACCCTTGTCATCTCTGTGCCTTCCAATCCCTGGGCCAAAGTTCTGTTGGCTGCAGCTTTAGTACGCCGAGTCCTACCAGTAGACACTGCTGCTGCTGCAACCATCCCAGGCCAAGCCACCAACACTCGACGTGAAGGCTTCTGAGTTGCTTCTCCTAAATCTCCCTATTTTCGCCTGTAATATTGTGTACACAATACCCAGAGTGATCTTTAAATGTCAGACGATGGCTCAAAACCCTTCAATGGCTTCCCAAATTTCCTACCATGGCTAACAAGAGTCCCCAGTTCCTAGCCCCCGTACACTGTGCTCTAACGCTCCGCTTTTGTCAAACTGCCAAGCTTGATCCCTTTTCTCCTCAAATCTTTGTCTGCCTGGCTTATCTCTGCTCTTAGCGCTAAGAATTACTTCCTTAGAGACACCTTTTAAAATCACCATAATTAAAAGACTCACCACCCCACTTCCATTCATTTCCAACCCTTTACTCGGCTTTCATTTTAGCACTTTACCTCACATTATACATATCTGACTCCTCCACTAGAATGTATTGTCCACAAGCAGGGATATTTTTCTACCACAACTGCTTAAAACAGTGCTGGCACATCAAGAAGCGCTCAGATGTTGATTCATGCACTGGTGGTGGTGTCACTGGGGGCAGGGGATACACTCTCATGTGTGTATAAGCATCTATATATGCTTCAGATTTGCATAAATCTGGATGTAGAGAATCCACAGCAGCTTTCAATAAGTTGAAAACTGTGAAATGTGACAGGGGTTCCAAATCATTTCTGTACATTAGAATGAAGATCTTTTAAAAATTCTAATGCTTAAGCCACATTCCAAATTAATTCGATCACAATTGCTGAGGGTAGGGCACAGGTATCAGTATTTGTTGAAACTCCCAGGTAATTCCAACGTGAGGTAAGTCTGAGAACCACTAGTATATGAGTTGGTAACCATGACATGAGATGGTGTATGAGACCCAGAATATTCAACAGAAGGAATTCCAATCATATGCTATGCATGCTTAAGACTTCTAAGATGGCACAGAGAACAAAACAAAAAATTCATAAAATTAAAACTTTCAGATATTAGGTCTTCAAGAGAGCACAACTTCCAGGATTTTCCAGGTTCATTTTCCTGTCACGTCTAATCCAAACTTGGGCCTTTCTATTAGGAAGTTTATTCTTTTCTCCCATCTGCCAAGGCAGATTTATGCATGAAAAAGTGGTGACTTCTATGTAAGTCACATCTGAAGGCTTTGGGGGTTTTGTTCCTACTGATATTTGTAATGGTGTCAAGTAAAAAGCTCCATTCTGGTAACAAGGTTGTAATCACAAAAACATAATGCTATATTCTCAAGAGAGAGAAAAGATTTCCTTACAACTCAACTAAGTGATTACGATGAGAAAGGAGTTCCTGAATTCTTAATCATGCCGTCTAACATTTCTCACTCAAAAGGCAATAGAACCAACTAGCTCCAGTCATGAATCAAAATATCCATAGGGCAGAAGCTAACAAACATTGTGCATTTACCCATCTCCAAACTCACCTTTAAACTATCTTTACACCTCAGAATGAAGGACAAAATTAATGAAAGAGAAGTCATGTCATTATTAAAATCCTCACTACAGTGCAAATGCTAGACACTTCTGAGGAATCTTGGAGATATTTAGGCCAACTCATTTTACAGGTGAATGACCTGACACAGGATAAGGTGAAATGACTGGCCTCAAAGTCACACAGGAGAGCTAGAAGAGAAAAAAGCTTTTTTTTTTTCCCCCCCAAAAACAAGCATACAGGATTTTTCATGTTAATCAAAAAGAAATCAAGATCATCAGATCAGGAAGAAATGAGGAATACAACATATGTTACACACAGATTCAGAGAGCTACTCAATCTGCCACCCCCCAAAACCAAAACTTTCTCTAAACATATGGACATATACCCATCAAGCAGTTTACCCTTAAAATATCAGAATCTTGGAAAAATTTCAATTTACAAATACATTATGAATTGCATTGCTATAACGAAATGAGTTCATTAAATGTGAAAACGTCAAACAGCACCAATACCAGAAGTTAAGAAAGTAAATACACTATTATTTAAAATAATGTATAGTCACTGATTGGGACAGAAATAAACTATAACCACTAGCAAAACCATTTAAAACAACTCTCTGACATAAAGGCAATATGTAAAGACCACTATATGCCCTTTTCCACTGATAGCCTGCGGCTAAGCATCCTGGCAGCGGATCACATGGAAAATACTATTAATTAAGAGGCATTTTTAAATTGTTCAACTTTGAACCGTGATACTACATAACCCAAAGTTGGCCAATGTAAGCCAATGGCTGCATTTTTGGTATCCTAACTACTCTTACCTGTCCCAATTAAAACAAAACTCAAAACTGCCTTATTAAGCACTGGATTAAATATATCTACAAAGTAGCAGCAAGGCATTTACAAATGGGCTACTGACAGTGCATCAAAATGCTACTAAGGAAAAGACAGCAGCAAGTACTCTCATAAGAGCGCATTATTCCACACGGAATCCCAAATTACTCTTATTTCCAGTTCCTTAAAGTCCTGGAAGACTAGAGAGGAACAAGCTATGTATAAACAGGGCTAGGGAAAACACAGCTCAAAAGGCATAGTATTTGTATTTTAAAGTACCCAAGATCATTTGATGCTTACAGAGAAATCCTACTATATTTAAAATTTTTTTAAACATGTACAACTAAAATGCTAGTGAAACTTTTGTGTTTACCAAAAAAATAGCACTGCAGTTTTAAGTGAAAATGAAATAGGCATGGTTTGTGAAGTTTTTATAATGTTTATACCACCCTCTTCTTCCTGTTCCCTGCTCCTTTCATCAGGTGATCCAAAGACTACCTGGTTTAAAATATTTGGTCATTCAGTGCAGAAAATTAAGATCACAGACAAAGTACAACAACTTTTAATACACCATTAATACTAATGATCAAAAATTATTGCATAGTCTTATGCGTTTACCCTAAAACATTTTCTCAAAGTAAACGAATTATAGAAAAGACAAATAATCCTAATGTGGATGGCCTTTACTACCTCGATCTTCTATCCTTTTTTGTCTTTTCAGTACTTTTGTCCATTGTTTTCTCATTATCTCCCCTGCACTTTGGGCAATACCATTTCCCCTTTGGTTTATAGGTAAGTGAAACACAGGAAAAGTGAAACCATTCAATTGGACACTGTTCGTTGTCACATCCTATCATCTCCCCATAAGATACTTGGTTGCATAAGCAGTATGTAGGTTCATTAGGATCTATGGCAAACTCAACAGGTGAAGCTTCCCTTTCCTGCTTGGCCTTGGAGCGTTTCTTTTTCTTTGCTGATTTGGATTTCTTTTCTTTAGGTGGCTGATCATCACAGTCTTCAATCCCGTTTGTCATGTGACATAAATCACGGCTTTCACTGGTCCGCTGCCTGCGGGGTCTTCTTGAAGATCTTTCTGGTTGGCTGGAATCCACCTTTGCTTTATCTGAGGCTCTTTCACTTTCGGCAGGATCTTGGAAACACTGTGAATGTAACTCCATTTGTCTTGCCCGATTTTCCACCAATTCGAGCATTTGTGTAACAATCTGGATTTTTTCATCTCCCAATTCTTGACTATTAATGAGTGCTCTCTGGAGAAGCTGCTGTAGACGTTTTTTCTGGTTTAAATCATCTTCTTTCTTATATTTTTCATAGACATCATCAATTTCCTTTAACGTTTCTAAAAAAGGAAAAGAAAAATGAGAATGTTATCATGGGTTAGCATACATAACATTTACAAGTTAGTTATTTTTTACAGAATTGAAGTTAGAACTCAAACCATGAAACCACACTCCTCTTTGGTATGTATACAATAAAAACTACTTCCCATACAAAGACCACATTATCTAATATGAAAGTATACTTAGAAATAAAGTATACTTTATTAATCTATACTTCATTAATCTATATTAAAAAGGATAAGAGATGTGTGACTAATTAATGATCAAAAGTATTTCTCATGGGCAGGAACACTGTATGCCACTTGAGTCTACTTAGTGCTGTAACACCTTCAAGACAACCCTATATATAAAATTTGCAGGCTGGAGTCCAGCTCTAAAACTTGAAAAGGTTATAGGACTAGGCTACAGATTACTGCCCAACTATGTTTACAGGATTTACAGTCCAATCAATGACTTGTGACATGACTCCAGAGATTACTATTAGCTTCACTTCCACATCAAAGTCTTAACAAAGCAGGCATAAGCAACTCTTAGCTTCCCATCATCTTAGTTTTAATGGCTCTATTTTAGCCTCATATGGGAAATTCAGAAGATGAAACTATTTCCAGAGTAGGTTCTGGTTCTGACATCAACTGACCGAACCACTAACAAAATTACAGTAAACTCAGCACTGGATCATTCTGCCTTTGTAGATAAATCGTAGTTGATTCTATGCTTTCTGAACTGCTGATTTAGTCGCATGGCACATGGAACACACTTACTTAAATCAAATAAAAATAGCTGAGTCACTAGAAGGTATCCAAAAATCCGAAAATATAATTTCAGATGTCACCAAAAATTTACTTAAGATTAGTTTTGTTCAAATCTGTTTAATTTCTTATTCTTACAAGACGTAATGCTATCTGAAAGAGTTCTGTCTGCTTGGTATTTTTCATACCACATGGCATACCAGTTTTATATTCCAGTATTATAATTACTAAAAATAGAAATGTTAGAGGAGTAAATATATACATTGGGGCTGTCTGCAAGTAAGGCACACAAAGCAAATATCAAACACAACTCATTAATTAAAGTACTCATAGCTGAGGTACAACTGTCTAACCTGGAATACCTAACAAAGTGCCACCACACGGTTGAGAGTACTTATACCTGCATAGCATATTTTTCAACAAAGTTCATATCTATTCCATTTGCTTAGCTAGGCATCCAAGCAGATTTCTTAAGAACCTAAGTTCCCTAGAAGAAAAATAAGGAAACTGGTTCACTCAGACACATAAAAAACTGAGGATTAAAAATGAAGAGGTAAACCTCATTTCAAATATTCTGCACCTAATAATCGGATGTTAGAGGCTAATTATAGTATATATCATACCAGTACACTAATACTATACATGAGATAAAAAAAAATTTTAAGACACCTTATCGTATAGTGAAATAAGACAAGCAATTAACATTTACTCAGCGCTTTCTATGCGGTAAAGACTTTCTCAGTTAATCCCCACAGCAACTCCACCAGGAAGTCATCACTTCTGCATGTGAAAAAACTACAACTGAAGAGATAAGAACCCTAGACTTTGAATCGTGCCAAATCTGTACGTCTGACCCTGCAGTGTAAGCACTTTTCTATCAATTATATGAAAAGCACTTGAAATTAAGTATCAAATTTTAGTTTGAAGGTTATTTATCTAAGAAACTAGATAATTTCTTTTTGTTCTTTTTGTTCTAGAACAAAAAGGTTCTCTAATAACCCTATCTCATAAGTACTTCAATTGTTAAATTGTTTTCTTCATTTATCTTCTTTAGAGGTTTTTCAGCAGTTCTTAAAGTATCTCAAGTAGATGGGAGAGAAATTTCTTTGACTGCCTATATAATTTATATCACTAAATATTGCTAGAAATATTAGATCCAAAACCAAAAAAATACTTATTAGCCAGTGGAGGGAAAAAAAAAAAAAGAAATCTGAACCCAGAACACAAAATATATATAAACATAACACTGTGAAAGTTGACCTCTGTAACCACGTGAAGAGTCAAAACTGGATGGGTTTTTATTATTAATCATTAAATTAATCACAATCTTCATAGAGCTAAGAATTTTTATAATGTCTCGATCTTGTTAGGCATACTCTATTATTGTTACCAGAGCTATTAATACAGGACAATTATAGATGATCCGGAAGCAGATTTCCCTGTCAACAAATTTTAGCATCCCTCACCAACTTCAAATAGCTTAACTCTTGTGAAAGGAAACATGTGCCTTCAAAGAATGCAAAAACCTGCCAGCTTTACAAACTTAAGAGTTATTTGAAAAACTAGAAAGATTCAATATACACTTATTAAGCATATATCACGTTTAGGTTACCATTCATGTATGTACGCCATACCTCTAGAAATCCCCTTGGGCAGTTCTTATTTTTTTAAATTTAAATTGTTTGAAAACAAGGATGTGCATCTAAAGTAGCAGGCTTTGGAGCCATATAGTCTACATCTAATTAACCGGACGAGTTACTTAAACTCTCTGTAAATTTTATCTGTAAAAGAAATACTTCAATAATGGTCTGTACCTGGCGTATCAGTATTAATTCCCTTCCCCGCCCCCGCAACACAGGATTCGGTCCTTACGAATCCTATGGATTCAGAAAACAGAGACAAATTTATAAACTAAAAAAATCAGAGACACTTAAATTTCTAACATGCTACAGGTCAGAAAATGTCACCCAAGAAGCTGATTCCTTAGAGACTTTTAAACTATAGGATCACTGACGTGTCTACAAAAATAGAGAATGGGTTTTGGAAGTTATCTTAAAAGTCCATATGGCTGTTTCCCTATTATGTTCAAGGTCTGTTCCTCGACTCAGGGTTATTAAACGCAACACATTTCCCCTTTTAAACTGCCCTTCTAGTGACACAACCGATAGTAGATGGTAACACTATAAGAAAGGTCGACTCTGTCCCGGCTTCCCGGGTCGGCCCGCAAAGGGTGGTTTGGCCTCATCACTGAAGTCGGAGTAGGAGGGGCTCGGGGACGCCAGGCGGTTGCCCAGTCAACCAACCCACATCCTCCACAGGCCCGGAAGTGACACATGTCCCGGAACTTACGCGGAGCCAGGATCCGCGACCGTCCGAGCTGCTGATCCCCGTCCTGACTCACTGGTTGGGAGAGACGGGAAACATCGCCGCAAACATGCTGCAAACCCCGACTCGGACTCTGCTAGGGCCGAACCAACACCCCGCACTGCCCCGATTCCCTCCTCAGCAGCCGGCACGCCACTGCCCTTCTCGCTACCAGCCCTGTGCCAGGCCCGCGAGAACCCGCGCCGCGCCCCTCCCACGCCCCACGTCACGCCCGCAGGCCCCGCCCCCGGCGCGGGCCCTCCCCGCCACACACGCCCCTCTCTTCCTCCCCGACGGGGGACCCCTCCCCTCCCCTCCCCTCTTAACCATTGGCCGAAGGAGCTGGGCCAGGGCTGCGGCGCTAGGCGACCGGGAACTTTCCCGAGGCGGGAGAGCGGAACGGACTGCGCTCCGCCGGGCCGGGGCTGGGGCGCCGAGGGAGGCCCCTCAGTCCGCCTCCGCGGCCTCTCGCCCCCTCCCCCCTCACGTTCCAATGCACCCGCGCTCCGGGGTGGGGGCGAGTCGGGTGGGGAAGCGCTCCCGGCAGACCAGCGGGAGCCCGGCCGCTCACTCCCTCCGGCCCCTGCCCGGCTGCACAGTCCAGGGCCGGGGCGGCGCGGTCTGCGGCATGGGGCGGGCGAGCGCCAGAACAAATGCTTGCTGCTTAAAATGGCTGATTCCCCTCCGCGGCAGCTGCAGCCACTGGGTCTGCAGCGGGGGCTGACGAGCGACCCCCACCCCCAATCCGGGGACCCCAGAAAAGTCCTCGCCCACCGCGGGGCAGGGGAGGGCCCGAACCCGGTCTCCAGTCCTCCCCGTCCCGCTCAGCAGACCCTCGGTGCGCTCGGGGAGACTGTCACGGGAGAAAGGGAGGTGGCACTCCCCCGGGCAGGCTCCCCGCCACCGGCTCCGAGGCCGGCAGCTCCGCGGCCCCTACCTTGATATTTGTTGTCCAGCTCTCGCAGCACAGACACGTTCCTCTGCATGTCGTGGGGCAGCGACTCCACACACTCAAGGTAGTCCTGCACGTAGCAGGTGAGCAGCCGGCTCCGCTCCCCGGTCAGGAGGGCGGCCGACGAGTACAGTTGCTGCTGCTGCCCTAACATCCTGCCGCTCAGCGCCGCCGCCGCCGCCTCCGCATCCAGCAGCCGTACATGCACCGGCCGCGGCCGCCGCGGGCCCTTCGCTCCGCAGCCCGGCGCCGCGGGGACCCCGCCGCTGCTCGAGAGGGCACGGCCGCGCTCCCCGACCTCCACTCCCCCCCAAAGCAGCCCTCACTCCCCGCCCCCGCGGCACCAGCCCAGGGGCGGGGCGAAACTCCGGATCGGAGCAGCCGGGATCCCCTCGGCGGGGCCGGCGCCGGAGTCCCGGGCGCTGACACTTCCTGTCCCTCTCGGAGTCCCCAGATGCTACCAGTGCCGTCTCGCAGCCCGGATCCCCATGACAAGCCCGTCGCCGCCCGCCTGTCCCCAGGCACCCTCCGTGCCTGACGGGGAGCCTCCCGCTGGCCTGCCCCCGCCCCTCCGCCCGCGGCCGCCTCTGCGCCTGCGCACGGCTCGCTCCAAATAAGGCGGCGGCCCGCCCCTACCGCCTACCGAAGGGTTCGCATTCTCCCGCCTTCGCTCCGCCGCCCGGGCGATTGGTCTGCCGGCTCAGGGCTGCGGGGGAGGGCGCGAGGGGGCGGCCAAACGGCAGGCCGCGCCCCGCCTCCCTTAAAGGGGAAGCCCGGGGAGCCCGCCTCTGCGCCCCACGCCTGAATGGGACCCGGCAGGGGAGGTGGCTCGATCCTTCTTGCCGTCCCTCCCGCAGGGAGGTGCAGCTCCTCCCGGCTCGCTCCGCCGGGCCTCACGGGCCTTTTCCCCACCCGGCGGTCCGAGCGCGGCTCCTCGCGAGCCTGCAAAGGAGCAGCAAGGGGCCCCTTTTCGGACGACCCGGAGCGAGGCCTGCGGGACTGCGCGCCCCGGCGGGCGGCTCCCGGCATGCGCGGCGGCTGCGTTCCCGCCGCCGCTGAGCTCGCCTGGGGCTGCCGCCCGCCTCCTGCCGGGCCCTCGGGCTCGCCCGGCCCTGCGGAGCTGATCGGGGAGGTGGACAGTGCTCCCTCCGGCCCCGGCGTCGTGCGCCCTGCGCAGGAATCTACCGTGTCATTTAGGGGGACGAGATGCGGGACAGCCTCTGCCTGCCAACGCGTTGGTCCTTAAAAACTACTACGTTTGGGGGGTGCCAGAACATTTAAGCATTGGACGTCGGCGAGGCCTCCAGGGGCACACGCCAGCTTTACGGGAGGTTTTGCTCAATCCTGTCCCGGGACTACAACCGGAGGGGACCGGGGGCGTGGAGACGCGAGTAAAAACCTAGCCACGGGCGGGCCCTCGGCCCCACGGTCTGCGTGATCTCCTAGTGGGGTTTCGTTTCGGTGTAGTGTAAACGAGATGCCCCGCGGAGGAGCTGATTTTAATTACAGATAGACTTTTTTGGAAGAAACGGGTGTCAATAGAACCAATGCCTGGAGAATTTTAATGGAATGCCTATGTAAACACGCCCTATTGTGAGTACTACCTTGGAGTTAAAAAGAAAATGTGAGTGAGCGGCGACAAATTTGGATCTTAGATCCGGTTTGCAGCGTTGGTACACCGGAATGGTGACCTATTTAGAGCACTTTTGAAACAGCTGGTAATAGTAAGTCAAACAGCCTTTGACTTGCAAGAGAAATCTAGCTCTTTATCGAGAGGAAATTTTGTATTTCAAACAGAAATAAAGCACTCCAGGCAATTTGACGTCTTGGGACGTCAACTATGGCAAAGGACTGGGAAGTTGTCTTGGGTTATTATCCTGGACACTGAGGTTTGGGCCAGTATTAAGTCAACCCAGGCATTACAATGTATTGTATTTCTGAGAACGTTTAGGGATTTTATAGTTCTTTAAACCTTTCGGCCGGGTCTCGTCAAAAAATGGCCTCTGTGAAGAACTGAATTGTACTGGTTTTTACTTGAACCCTACTATTTTTGTTTTCTCACAAATTTGAATAAGCTGGTGTTTATCAAAGGCCCAAAATAATGCATGGTGCCTTGTTACAGGTCAAACACCGAATGCACCTATGGATTTTATTCACCCTGATAAGCGATCTGCAGGTAGCTATGTGTTTAGAAACTAGAAGGGAGGGCCAGGCGTGGTGGCTCACACCCGTAATCCCAGGGCGATTTGAGAGGCCCGAGGCGGGCGTATCACAAGGTCAGGAGTTCGAGACCAGCCTGGCCAAAATGGTGAAACCCCGTCTCTACTAAAAATACAAAAATTAGCTGGGTGTGGTGGCGGGTACCTGTAATCCCAGCTACTTGGGAGGCTGAGGCAGGAGAATCGCTTGAACCCGGGAGGTGGAGGTTGCAGTGAGTGAGATCATGCCATTGCACTCCAGCCTGGGCAGCAGTGGGGGACTACATCTCAAAAAAAGAAAGCAAGAAACTAGAAGGGAAAAAAGACAAAGATGCGGAATACCTAGAGCACTTCCTCTAGAAACAGGGCAAGGTGAGAGGAGGGATGAGCATGGGATAGGAGGCATTTTATAGCATTATTTTCACCTTTTATAATTCCGTTGAACAGGCTGGAAAAAAGCAAAAATATCCAAAGAATATTTTAGCTGATACTGATCTAAAACTATAAAACATTGTAACATAACATGTATATGTATGAATTATTTCAGACATGCTTTTCTTGCTAGGTTTATTTTAAAAGGTTAATCTAAGGCTTATTCTTGCCACCCTGTGAAAGCAGCCTGTGTCGGGAGAGCACTTCAGTGGAAAAAAAAAATCACCACAATCCCTAAACCCAACTCTTGACCTTGGTTATTTAGCGCTGTCCTTCCCTTCTGAGTGGTCATTTAACTGGAAATATGGGACCTCTTCAGATTGAATTTCTCGTCTTCTAAATGCAAAATTAAAAATCTCCCATTCTTAGCAACTGAAGTTAATTTATGATATTTAATCCTGTGGGTAAAGCAAAAAGGAATTTTATTTGCTCTACAGTGTATTATCTACCATAAAGCAGCCCTAAGAAAAAGATGAGTAACTGATCTCCCCAAATTAGTCTGAAATTACCTTGAATTTCTAAGTCGGCGACTTGAAGAGGTCCCCGGCAGGAAACGTGTATGCCTCCATACCTGTGTCTTGGGAAGAGCAGCAACTTCAAACTGCTGGAAAACAAACTGGAAAGTTGGTGTGAGAGAGTCATAAAGATGGCTGCTGAGAAAAGTCAGCTTCTGTGGAGTCAGACCAAATATATTTGAAATCCTTTTCTTTTTTCTACTTTTTAATATTTTTAAACTTTAATATGGAAATTTTCAGACAAAGGCAAAAGTAAAAATAATAGCACAATAAATCCTCGTATACCATTTACCCAGCTTCAACAGTTAGCAACATAGGGCTAAGATTAATATACCTCCCTTCACGTTCCCTCACCCTTGCTGGACTTTTATCATTTTATCTGTAAATACTTTAAATATGAACAGGGAAAAGTAACAGTTTTTTGTTGCTGCTGTTGTTTTTGAGACAGTTTTGCTTTTGTCGCCCAGGCTGGAGTGCAATGGCGCGGTGATCTCGGCTCACTGTAACCTCCACCTCCCAGGTTCAAGTGATTCTCCTGCCTCAGCTTCCCAAGTAGCTGGGATTACACATGTGTGCGACGACGCCCAGCTAATTTTTGTATTTTTAATAGTGACGGGGTTTCACCATGTTGGTCAGGCCAATGTCAAACTCTTGACCTCCAGTAATCAGCCTGCCTCGGCCCCCGAAACTACAGGGATTATAGGCGCGAGCTACCGCACTCAGCCAAGGTAACAGTTTTTTAAAATATCCATAATACTATTCTACCTCCCAAATTTTCTTACTATTGTTTAATAACTACACAATTCAGATTTTCCTATTGTCTCATTAAGTCTTTTACATTTGATTTAACAGGATCCAGCAAATCCCATGCTTTTTATTTGGCTAATGAGGTCTTTTCTAAACCAGTAAGAGGCAGTTAATTCCCTGTTTAATTCAGTGAAGCAGAGAGCAATGTTTTTCTGAGGAAAAGATTCGAGTAGTTGAAAATCACTGCTTTAAAGATGGAGACATTCAAGAAGAAATCTTCATAGGATAGGGTCACCAATTGATAGCATGTTGTAAGAAATATAATTGTACCTGATGCAAATAAATAAATCCCTCCTAATTGTCAGGTCTCTATATGCAAGCCTGGAGCCTGAAAGTCTGAAGTCCTGCTTGTCTCCAGCTGAAGTGTCCCACACCCTGTCTGTGTTTGCCATTATCCTGATCGCCCACTGGAGCTTCCCACAAGCCCCTCACCCAACCCTGCCACGTTAACTGTTCTTATGATAATGTAAATACCTCTTACCCAACCTGCCGTTGTAACTGAACTTGTATACTCCTTGCTCCTACCCCCCACCACTATAACTGAACTTACTCTGCAACACCCCCGTCCCCCAAAAAACTACCTAAACCTATAAAACCAACTCCTATCCCACTGCCCTTTGCCAATGCTCTTTTCAGCCTTAGCCCACCTGTGCCCAGGTGAGTAAGCAGCCCTGTTGCTCACACAGAGCCTGTTTGGAAGGCCTCTTCATTCAAAGCGCACTGTTTTTTCAACATTTGGTGCTGAAACCCAGGACAGGGGAACTTCTACAGGAGACCAAACCCCTGTTCCTGTTCTTGTGCTCCCTCTATGAAGAGATCTACCTACCGACCTAGGGTCATCAGACTGGCCTACAGACGCACACCACTGGCTGTTTTGGTAAGCAGTCTCTTTTTTGCTTTCCCATCCTTTTGTCTTTTCCACTTCCTCCCCCTTTCTGTTTTGTCCTTTTTCCACCACAAAGACAAGGAAAATCAGGTAAACCAGGTCCTTCTGTGAGGTTCATGACCGGAAAATCCTATGTAGGTCACAGATCCGAGGACCCAGTTTCCCCAGGGGTTTGACTATCGTGGAGACCTTCACCCTAGTCACTCGCCCACCAGCCTCATGGCCGATATTGGTGGCAGGTCAACAGAGAGGATGCTCTTTGACCACCCACCAACAATGAGGTTCAACCCAGGCTCAACTAGGGACGCCTTTTGAGCAGCTGGGTTGTGTGCCCATTTTCCTTGTCTCTGCTGCCTTTGCAGAACCGTGGGCAATCGTCCGTCCTCTATCCCTCCCTCCTCTCCACTGGCCTGTGTTCTAAAACACCTCAAGCCTCTTCAACTGTCTCCTGACCTAAA